GAGTTTTATATCAATTTAGAGATTATTGGAGTAGAAATGAAAGGATATCCTCTGTACACAATGCTCTTCAGGCTAAAAAATGTGGAGCCTTCTATAACTTCAAGAACATTAGTACAATGGCTGGAATGTGATTCTGACAGGTTAGTTGATCCTCGTAGAGGATGGAGTTCTGAGATTGCATGGAAGAGAGCCTTATAACCCTCACAGGTCAAAATCCACTAAATTGAGTGATCCGGAGATGAGGCTATTGCATAGATACATCACATATTCCTTCAATGCACGAAAGAGATCAAATGGTCAAATTACGACCGAAAATGTGCTGTTAATGGAAGCAGCAACAAAAGGAAAATGAGTAAATACAACAATTTTCTTGATAAGAAAACTTGAAGAGATTCAGAAGGATTAAGGTGAAATCCCAATGGGAATGCTGATCACTTACTTTTGTGATAAACTAAACCTGCAATTAATGATGAATAGAAGGTTAAGTTTGATATTTTGAACCTGTTTATTGAGAATGCTCTATAGAGGATGGGAATGATTCGAGCAAAGAAAACCAAGAAGTGGGAGGTAATCCCTCCTCAAGGTCAATTAAGAGACAAGGATACAACTGAATCATCAAGTGAAGACCCTTTGGACACTAGAAAGATGATAAGAATGGAGCTTGGGTCTAGTTCGATGCCTCCACGACTGGCTGATGAGATATTTGAGAGAGTAGCATTGCATTTTGATGCAAAATTTGATAGACGGGACAAGGCAATAACAGAAAAATTCCTCCTCCTAAGCAATCAAACATCTGAAGTCTCAAACAACCTCCAAATCCTCCAAGACTCTATGCCATCCTTTCCTCAATCTCTTTAACCATAGTCCAAACTTCCTTCGAGTCTCTTTTGCGTTTTTATATTTTGATCTCCATTTTTGTGCACATGGGAAACATTCGTGTCCATTTGGACACCTGAACTTATGTTATTGTTCTTTACTTTTGTTGTTATTGTTTGTTTCATTTTGTGATTGTCGTTTAATGTTATATCTATAATGAATTTCTTTTCATCACCCTTACCTGTCATTGTGTTGATGTGTTGATGATTGATATCTTTATTATTAATAACAAAAAAGGGGAGAAAGATGGATGAAATTGAGTGTATTTGTTGTTTGTTGACTGATTGGTGTAATTCTTCTTTGTTCTTCAAAGTGAGTCTTATACTTTGATAAGAGAAGAAAAATGGTTGTGTTTGTTGTAGAAGTATGCTTGGAGTAAGGGGGAGTGTGTTTCCTTACTCTATGTATGTGAGATATGCATTTTTGAAGGGGAAAATTTTTTATTTTTGTTTTTGCATATTGATTATGAATTTGCACTTTCATACGAAAATCAATTTTTGTTTAGTTTTGTCATCAATAACAAAAGGGGAGATTTTTGAGCCCTCATGTGTTTTGATATGCCAAGACTAATTAAAAAGTTGATTGTTGTCTAACAAACATGCAAAAGTATGACAAGAGTCATAACCAAAACAAAAATACAGTTTTTCAAGTTGGTATGATCGTACAGGACAAAGGAACGACTGTTCCTAGTTTCATAGAGTTGCCCAGTTGAACGTTCTACATAGCACGACTACATTCTAGATGATCGTGCACTCTTCTGCCAAGATTGTGCCAAGTCACTTGCAATGGCATGACCAAGATGCATGACAGTTCCACTCAAGTCAAGAGTCAAGACATTTCAAATTCAAATGTTTTCACGCCTTTGACAAGTCTTAAAGATTGAGCTTTGAAGATCAAGTTGAAGAAAAAGTTTTTCAAGCGGAATGATCATGTCACATGATCGTTCCCACTCAAAGATCGTTCTTGGGAGAACGACATCATTCCAGAAAGTCGCTTACCACATTGAAATTTTTATGGATTTTAAAGGGCCAATGAACTGATTGTTTCACATGGTGGAATGATCGCTTGTGAGAATGTTCTGTAATTTGATAAGACTCTTCTCCACCCTTTAGCATAAAAATCTTGAGTTTTTATATCCCTTGAAGAGGTAGCCATTGCTTCATTTAATGCAACTCTGATAAAGCCTGTAGAACCCAAAAGAACGGTCATTCATAATTGCAAACAGTCGTTCCTGACACAACGAATAAATTTTCTCAGATCTAGGGTTTCTAGAATGAACGTCCACCACGCCGTATAATCGTGCAAAGACATCGCATGTTCATTCCACCACACAGAATGGTCTCACCGAAATTGTTCTTTCAAATCCACAAGATTTTCCAGAGGCATGCACACCTTTTTGGAACATTGTTGTACAAAACTCTTCAGAAAGGAATGGTCGTTCCACCATGCAGAATGGTCATGCCTCTTTTGATACATGAGTTTTGACTTGATTGACTTTGGAAAATAGTCAAGAGTGTTATGGATTCTAAATTTGAATATCTTGACTTTTGACTTGAATGGAATGGTCGTGCAAGATGGTTGTGTATGTGCCACACATTTTGGCAGGATAATGAACGACCATGAGGAACAATGTCGTGCAATGCGACACATTCATCTTGGTAGTTTTCTTTTACTGAACGGTCGTGCCTTGATCATGCATGGTCATACCACTTGAAAAATCTACTTACGCACGATCATACCACCTAATAAATCTATTTTGGTTTGGTTATTACTTGTGTCATACCTTAGCATGTTTTGGTTAGTAATGAATCAACTTTTTGGATAATTTTGGCATATTAAAACACATAAGAGGTCAACAAAAACCAACAAATTCACCCCATCAGCGCTTCCTCCCATCATATTGTTCTTCCATAATCCATACCCACACAACAATGATCATTAGTGACAAACCAAATTAATAAATTCCAAATCAACCTCACCCTAACTTTTTCTTTTTAAAAAATTTTTAGGAAAAGGATTAAAAAAAAAAAAAAAAAAGAAAGAAAGAAAGAAAGAAAATGGAAGGAAAAAAAAAAATCATTAACATTTTCAACCTAGCATTCTCGTTGGCCGTCCTAGGGCCATTATCCAACCTTGCTACAAATCCTAAATGATGGATTATCCACACAATTTCGGATGGGATACCATCTGTTACTGACACTATGTAGCTTAATTAGTACTTAAGATTCATTTCAAAGGACAAAATCCTAGGTTTGAATCAAAAGGGGCACTCATAAAATACACAACATCTTTTCAATGGACTAGGTTGGTACATAACCTCTACCAACAATGACCACTCTGGATATGATGCAACTAAGAATCTATGTGGGATAGTGTGGAATGATTGGCAATAAGGGTGGGCTAGAGACACAACGTGTTACATGCGACTAACATTGAGCTAGGATGGTTGCGTTATGGACCCACTAGGTAGAATACACCCTTCAAATTGACTTTTAAGGGTAAGGAGTCAAATGGTTAATAAACCACCCAGTAATTTCATACTTAGTGGATGTCGAATCCTAACATTCCACAATGCTTTCGGATACTATGTCTATTGCGGCCCACTTTCATAGCTAGATGACTTCACATATCCTAAGGTGGGCTAGACACACCATGTGTTACATGCTGTTAGAGTAGGTGCCCTAGAGCCAATAATGTATTGTAAATTGACTATTTGTAAATCATGTTTTGTTATCAATAAAAGACATTTATCTATATCATGTTACCTAATTATATTCATACAAGAAAGTGATATATGTCCTTAGGGTGGTAGAACCGTGACAAGGGTATCGAGTGTTTGAAATCTCCTTAGTGAGAACCTTATGAGCACATATGGTGGCCATTCTAGAAACGTCCATAGCTCAGTATTATCCTAACCTAGGGCACAGATAATACAGTAAGACTATCATAGTGTTGAATGACTCTGTCGAGAGACAGTGACAGATCTCACTTTTGAAGGTTGTTTGGTGACGACCTGGTGTAACACATGGGAACGTGTTGTAGGCAAGTTCATCGGACCGACCCATTGGAGGATTTCACATAGATGGTAACCCTAGTGTCTGTGGAACGAGTCCTCCAACGATTGGTGCTTGTGATCCTTAAACTTAAGATCACCAGAGTGTCTTGTGCACCAATTGGTGTAGTTTGACACTAGTCTAACGTAGTCTTATTTAGAACTATTAGAACAATAGTGGTTGACTACATTGAAAAGTGTATCGAGGCTATAGTGGATCAATAAAGGACTCACCACTCCTGGGTATAGGAGAAATTATCTCACTACGCAATTCGGCAAAGGACAACGAAACTAAAGTTGTGACCACTATAGGATTGAGTTGTCGCTCAATCCAATTTATTAAGGTCATTGGTCTGGAAAACCGAATATAAAGAGATCAAGGATATTAATTAAGGTTAACATTATTTCTACATCTCAACCCTGATAAGATAATATATGATGAAGAGATTTTGATTGCACGGTAACCATATTGTTGATAGGTAGCGGTTTCCCTGAATCTAAATCTATTGGGTGTATGATACTTGGCTAGAGGCCAATCTTGGTCTATGTTTAGTGGGACGATTGATTGATTGTCAATTGCGATACTATTAACTACTGATATGATGAGGAGCCTTCGGGTCGCACACATAAAAGATAGATCAAGAATAAAAATAAGTGAAAGGGATATTTTCGTCTTTTAAGATGAAAGAGTATTTTGGTAATCTCACAATTTAATTAAATTTGTTGAGGTTGTTGCCTATGTTTAATTTCATAAAAAAATTAAAATTAGTGATATATATATATATTATTAAAAACCAACTTGTAGAGGGAGTGAGCCTATGGGTTAATAAACCACCCACCAGTCTTATACTTAGTGGAGGTTGGATCCTAGCAGGCGACAAGATCTGTTTTAGATTTGAGGGTGTTTGGGTTATATTTTCATTATGAATCAATAATTATAAAAGTGAGGTTCATTTACCTCTTTGCCATTCATTCTATTAAAACTAACAAAAATTTCTAAGGATATATATATATATATATATATATATGAGAAACATAGGGATTTAAAGTAATTCATCCGGGCCATCCGACACAATATAGTCATCCGCTAAACGCCTTCATAAACTACATGTTATCTTATATGATACTGTCCAATACAAGACAACGATATACAATGCAATATAGTACAACAGAATATGACATATCAAACATGTGCAAATTAAATATTACTGTATTTCATATAATATAGTGTAATATGATATTATACAATACGATATAATGCGTCAAACATATTGTAAGTGATAAAAATCTGATTACTATGAAGCACTGGGCTGGCATACAGGTAGGTCATCTTCGAAGGTGGGCGCTGCTCGAAGAATTGGATTGCTTTGGAAGAAATTGACAGGCTTTAGATCAAAGCTGGATGACACGGTTGGCATTACAGGAAAATCCTCTTGACATGGTATGTGATGGAATCCCATGGTGTACCATAATACAATATCTTGATTCTCAATTGGGCGATTCCTGTTACATCATGCAAACCAATTATGTCAATGAAAAGAAGCTACTAATTAGTTGTTGTACGTACATCAGCACGTAAAATAAAGTAGGTTCTTAAATTTATACCTTTCGGACCAAACTGCAAGTGTGTCATCTCCTTTGCTCTGGTACACGAAAAGTCCACCAGCCCATTGTTCAGTTCGATTATACGGGGTCGTCCATATCTATGTGGCGTAACAAAAAATTAAAGTACATACTAATACTATCTCTTTTATATGATGTACATTATTCTATTTGAAAAAATCGAGAATACAACAGGAATAGATATTTGAGTGACTTGTAAATTTTCTCTTTCTCTTATGTCTTTTAAATTAATTATATTTATGCGTGATACCATATCAATAATATTAATACCATTAACTTTTTTCCATTTTAGAGATCCCTATTAAATAATGTGAATACCTAATCCGTTTTATATATAACTTGCAAAACTGTAAATGGATTTTATAGGGGCATGTACCTGATTGTTAGTGAAAGCACCTCGTAGCTGCGGAGGATCATCATGAGCAAGCAAACTGGCGGCGTTTGCTCCTGGGACAACTTTATACCCTGCCGGGTTTCCCAACCTAGAGCGACTTGAAGGATTAATTACATGAAATTCTGATGGATCATAGAGCTTGAGCTTAATTTGAGCATCCTTTTCTGTTTTAGCTATGCGCCGCTTAGCTTTCAAGTAACTCTTCCTTGGCGATTCGCCTTTCGAAGTCTCTTTTTTCACAAGATTAACCTCAACAAACGAATTATTAACCCCATCAATGTCCATGTCCAAGTGGAAGGTAATAAAGTGATCATGGACAACACCGATAGCATTTTCAGAAACTAAGGGACCCGATATGTCATCTTCGTCAAAACCCTGATTTGTATTTTCATGTGGAGTCCCTTTCACCATCAGCATCCCCGAGAGTCCCACCTGTTGCGTGTTATTCATGAATTTTATATATAAACTATCAAATTAATTCAATATACGATGCTAACCTTGATGCGAATCAAACCGTCGGTTTGAAATTCCCAATCAAATATGTAGTCGTAGTTTCCGACTGATGCTGTCATCCGCGCCACAAGCGTCACCTTTGGTCTGGCTTCCTTTATCTATTCAACATTTAATTCAGTCTCTTTCAGTTGTATCGTGTTTCACTTTCAGCCATTCACTTGGGCAACATCACATTCATATATCATATCAAATTGGGAATCTAGTCTCTAACCCATAAAAGTTTTAACCAGAATATTCATTGTTGCAATCGTATAAATATTACAAGGACAGTAGGATTTGAAGATGAGGCTGTGGAATATACCCTAATAAATATAAATAAAATAAATTTTTAGAACAATTTAAGAAGTATCAATCTTTGTTTTTATTTTTTATATAAAAATATATATTAATTTTCAATATTTCTATCCAATACTTAAGTATACTAAAATTACAATTTAAAATTTATATAGAAAAATACAAAATACAAAAAACCCAACCCTATAAGACAGTTTTTTTCTTTTATTTTTTATTCAAACAATAATACTAGACATGCAAATAAATCTTTAAAGATTTATATACAAAGTGATAAATAGAAGAGTTAATACAAAAAGTCAAACTCATCATATTCACTTCTCCATTCATTTTATGTTATATCACTTTGTATAAAAATTTATATAAGATTTTTTCGCTTTCTTGAAAAATCAATTCATATTAAAATAAAATGTTTCAGAGATTAAGTAGAGAAAGAAGAATAAAAAAGCGTTAAATGATTAATGAAGCATAAAATGATTAATGAATTTGGATGATATTTTTTTTTAATTTTGCCAGCAAAAGACTAAAACAAAAAAGATGGTCTTAAAATATATAAAATAGAGAATTTAAAACTCACTAAATATAAATTTTAAAATCCATTAATAAATATTCTTAAAAATAACTTTAAGTGTAAAGATAAATTATTTAATAGTGGAAAAGGAAGTTAAGCACTTGGGCACGGCACACTCATGCAAATCAAATTGGGAATCTAGTGACTAGTATCCATCACATAAAAGTTTCAAGCTGAATATACCCTGTTACAATCGTAGAGTACGATTCGAATTATTGGGCCTTGGAATAAACACCTAATAAATAAAAATAAAAATGTTTTTTAAACAAACTAAAAGGTGTCCAATCTTTTATCATTCTTCTTTGTCTTTGTTTGTACTTTTTAGCTAAGAGAAAATTAATTTAATTTCCACTATTTCTATCTAATACATAAGTTTTACATATGAAAAGAAATGAGATAAAATTACAATTTTAAATTATAAATAAAAAAAATAAAAAGTACAAAATACCCAACCCTAGAACTGTAGAACATTCTTCTCTATTATTTATTAAGAAAATATATTATTATTCTTGCTTTCTTGAGAAATCAGTTCATATTAAAATAAAAAGTTTTAGACATTAAATCGCTAAAGAAAGAAGGAAAGAAAAAGGTGAAATAATTAAGGAATCTTAAAAAATAAAATTGAAAAGAATTTAAAACTCGTTAATTATAAATTTTAAAATCCAATCATTAATATTAATTCTTATTTATAGCTTTAAATGTAAATTATTTGATTAAGGAAAATGAAGTTTATCTAAATATTGGGATAGGAATTTAAATAAATGGTAATTTATCTAGTAATTCTATCTATAATTTATTATATTTATTCTAATTGATTTACCAAAAAGTATCCACAGGTGTAATTTGAGTATATTACCTGGAAACCATTTATTGGGATCTCAGAATGCCGCCAACTGATGTCGGCAGAATAACGCTCGAACAGGCAAATAATATTAGACTGAACAAATGGCTTACCGTCGGATGTCACAAAGACCCCATCCATGTAGTAAGAGTATCTAGGGCAATCATTTAATGGCACAAGTGATAATGAAGTTGCCCCTAAACCATATTCACCACCATCCAAATATGTCTTAAAGTACCAATGCTCATCAGGGTCCATGTAAGGCACAAATAATTCCGAAGAAAACCCCTTGTACATCACACTTCTTAGCTCACCAGTCTCTGAGTCTTGAACCGTGGCTCGTGAAATCACCATCCCCGCTCGTTGGTCAGCTTTCAGGTGGAATACCCAGTTCGACCATTTCACCACGTGTCCATCTTCTACTATAAAACTAGGCCCTTTAGGCTGCTCCATGGATATTGGGTTTAGTGGCTTCAGTTCTGGTGGCTTCACTTGGGCCGTGTATCTATAATCTGTATTACTACTTTTTGGAATTGGGATACCTCTTCCTGTGTTGGAAAATTTCACTATCTTTTTCTGGTCGAGGTCCACTGTTACAGTCAGCCCTTCAATGGGNCCATTTAAGACCAGTTATTCGAGAAAATAACAATTTTGTCAGTTTGAACCAGGTGAATTTGAGTTTAGTAGATTTTTTAGTAATGTTTTGATCTTTGTTTGTGAGTTGAAAAATCTCATGAATCAAAACGTTACTAAAAACATCTACTAAACTCAAGTGTAATTATCCTTAACATATTCACATCTTATAATTTGACAATTATATGTACATCCTCGCATTTAAGACCCTCTCATTGCTTGTGAAGGGAAGAGGGATTATGTAAAATATTGGGACAAAAAAAAAAAAAAAAAATTGTAATACAAATAGAAAAAATTAGATAGGTTTTTAAATTTGCGGACATCCAGTCAGACATAATTACAATAAATAGAGGCTTTCTCGTTGCATTAAGAGTTGGTCTTGCAAGCTCGTTTTTATATGGCTTTATGGTAATCGGAGAATATATGCCTGATGATTCTGGTTTCTCAAATAACAATCAAACTAATTATATATATATATATATATATATATATATATATATCTTAATCTGATGGCAATCCCAGAGGGTTGGGTCCGCCCTGGATCTAATAATACCATAATATCCGACAAAACCAGTCGAATTTTAACCAGCAAATTGATGGATAGTTTTTCTATTTGGGATCTTATCCCCTAAGATTAAAATAAATAAATAAATAAATAAAAGGAATCTATTCTCACTAGAAATATGTAATATATAGATAAGATTATCTCTCTATTTAAATAATATTAATTTAGAGATTGATTTGAATTTTTAAATAGTACAAAACATTCAATAGATATGCATATCGATTTTGAACTAATGAAGTAGAATATTACTATCACTACTACTTTAATTGACTGGAGCATAAAACTTATTAGGTGTTATATTGCCCAATTCAATCAAAACGTGCAACGGAATAGATTGAGGGAGGCCACCCAAAAAAAGCGGCTAACAAAAACATCACATCTCTCTTGCGATTTTTGGCGATTAAAGTTCCCAATTTCTAGCAAATCTTTGCCATTTAGATTTCGTTTCCCTGTTAATTACACAAAGAAACAACGGCTGACATTAACAAATCAGAGGAAAACCCAACCCCACTCCAAATTCTAGAGTCCAGCGACGGCGATTATTCAAAGATTGTTGAAGAAGAGGTTTCGGTGGATCTTCTAATGAGTGAAGTTGGTCTAGCGGCAGAGGACATGATGTCAGTACAAGAACAGACAATAGGCTTAGTAAATGGTTTTGAATATGAGGACGCTGATGCAAATTCAGGCAAGGAGGAGGAAGAAGATGAAGAACAAGTACATTTCTTACCATTTTATGAAAAAATTCTTTGTTGGTGTGAATTTGGGGGATATTTAGTTGGTTTTGATTGTTAGGGTGGTTGTGGCATTTTGTCGAGCAGTTGGCGGACATCAGGGGAGTGCCTTTGTTTGGGTTCCAAAGGATGGGGGAAGGCAAGAGAGGCCGTAAAGAGGTTGTTTGTGGGAGGTTGGAGGGCTAGGGATGGCAAAAGGGGGCAGAATAGGGGTGGCTGGGGGCTGCCCTACATATTGTAGGGCTGGGCACATGTTGCCTATAGCCAGCCTTGCAATATGCAGGGCAACCCCTAGCCCCCCCTTTTCCACCCCCTCTTGCCATCCCCAGCCATCGAACCTACCACAATAACCTCTATAGGGCCTACATTGGCTTCCCTAGTCCTCTCAAAGCCAAAAACAGCTACTCTCCGATGCCCTCAAAGCCCATATCCCCCAAATTGGTAGCCTATTGGTTGTTTTGGTTTTTTTTTTTTTTTTTCCTGATATTTAGTTTATATCGATTGTGCAGTGTTGTCGAAGCATAAACTATAAAGATGATGAGTTGGAGATTGTAATCGATAGGATACCATACTTCCCCGTAAGGGTGACGATTAGGTCGAGTTGGCAAGTGTTTACAAGAATAAGGGAGATTTTAGGTGAACAAAAGAGAGGTATGGACTGATTCAAAGATAGTTGTTTCGATCATTTTATGGACATATGAGAGAATTGGAAGAAGGTGTTCTGGAGGCAGGCAACACATTTTATGTTGCTGCACTCAATTAAAAGCAAAAAAATAAAAAAAAATGTGGTTCGTGGTGGATGGGAAGCCACTACATTTTGGGATGATGGAATTTGCCTTGATGATAGGTTTAAGATGTGGGGCATTTCTGGAAGCAGAAGAGGAAGAGGAAGAGAGAATAAAGAAGAGTAGGGCAGCTAAAACCTTTGTTAGATTGGTTTTGGCGGGGCAAGCATCTATTATGGCACGTGATTTAGAAGATAGGTTAGGAGAAGAAGGGTATACCTCTTCAGAGGAGTTTAAGATGTGCCTAGTATGGTTTTTACATTCCATCCTAATAGCTTGTGACTCAACAAAAGCCATTAATCTAGATTGGGTGTGGTTTGCAAGCAACTAGGAGTTCTTTAATGTTTATTTGTGGGGAAGGTTATCATTTCAGCTAAACATTGATTCCTTACGTGGAAAAGACATGGCGATAAAGCACCGCCAATATGTCGAGAAGGAGAGACCGAGCACTTACAATTTGTTTGGCTTCCCATGGGCAATACAGGTAAATATTAATAGCTTTTTGTTATATTTTTTGTATTATATGTGTTTTAATTATGATATGGATTGTTTTGTTACAATGTAGGCTTTGATGTATGAGGTCATCCATGTCCTAGCTAAGGCAAGGGGGACAAAAGGAGACTTCGAATGAGACACTGCAATTTCCTAGGATGTTGCGATGGCACACCGAGAAGTGTGCCCATTTGGACTATGACAAAATAAAAATGGAAATTCAAGCGGCTTGGGTAAGATTAAAGGATTAATATTTTGAATATGCACTTGCTTTTAAATGTGGCTTAAATTTGATTTGTTTTTTTCTTATTGCAGGGAGTCGTTCGTCCCTTCATCACCCCTACTAGGGGTGAATCGGCAACGGAGTATATTACATTGTTCGTACCACTGGACAATATAACATATCAGGGGATAGACCGCCTAATGCGGGACCTAGAAAGGGTCATGCATTTGAGGGCAGTTGCGGGGTCATTGCTTAAGCATGTGGTTAAGGCCGAGGAGGATGAAGCTTCAGTCGGTGGGAAGGAGGAGGAGGAGGAGAAGGATGAAGAGGTTCATATGCTCTACCCAATTGGCAGACCAGTACAACAAGTATCGATTTGCCGAGGCATCGGGAGAATGTGGTGGTTAACCTCATAAACGGTCTCTTTGATAGTTTTACAACCACTGTTTATGAGAGGTTTGAGAAGATGGAAGACTGGATGAAAAAGGTGGAGGAGAAAACCGGTAGGGTGGAAGAGAAAGTTGATGGGGTATTGAAAGTGGTTAAAGTGCAACCTCAGCATAGAAGAGAGAGTTGAAAGAGTAAGCACGTAAAATTTCCTTACATGGTAGTAATGTATGGAAAGAAGAGGAGAACTAAGGAGAAAAAGGAGAAAGTCCATGAAAGTGGAGAAGTGGAGAAGTGGAGGAGGAAGGTGAAGGAAGTGGGGAAGTTAAAATGGAGGAGGGTAAGAATGAAGGCAAAGGAAGTGAAAATAGAAGAGTTAAAGGTTGACTTGTATAGGCCAATAGATGAGGAAAAAAAAAAAATATTCTATGCCTATTACAACGAGAAATGAAGTGATGGTTGTGTGAAGTGCAAGACCAGGGATTATCCCTGAGGCTGGTTTGAAAAGATCTTGACAATAGGTAGGTGGCTCGATGACTTGGTGAGTTATTTTCCCGTATTTTTTCTTATTTTTGCTTATGTTTTCCATGAGATATTGTGTGATCGCTTAAACGATCTGTTTTTTTTAACAGATCACTTAAGTAATTTTTTTTTTTTTTTTAGGAGGTTGCTTTAAAACAGATTGCTTAACATGTGGATGAGGTATTGACACTTATCATGTTGTTTTGTTTTAATGCAGCACATTAATGAGGTGTTGGCACTTATGAGGTTGCGACAAAGCACTAATGGTGATATTTTGTATACACACTATGCCATCACTAATGTGTCCTTTGGTCAAAGCCTAGCAAGTACATATGAGATGTTAATGAAAAAGGCCAATGATGGAGGTGCAATAAGAGGAGGCAAGCGAAAAAGAATGGTCATAGAGAACTTTGACGGTGTCCTTGCGGATTTTCAGTTTGATGAGAGGGTGATGCAGTATCTAAGGGAGGAAAGGCCCAAATATGGCCATAGTTGGGCAAACGTGAAACGAGTATACTGCATTATGAACATCAATGATATGCATTGGATAACCATCGTTTGACTACTAGAGGAGGGCTTGCTCAAGATCCTTGATTGCAACCCAAGTATTTGTCGAGAGAGGCAATTGGACAAGGAGGTGTAGTCGCTATGTACATTGTTCCCGCGATTTTTGTGAGAGAGCGGGATGTTTCAGCACTTGGGTGATGAACTACGGTCGAGAAAGTGGCCACACAAGCACGTTCCCATCCCGACAAATAACATGAGGTAAATTTTGTATAAAACTTACATAATACAATTGTTCTATAAGCTGATTCTAATACTAATGTCTTCCTCATATTGTAGTGTTGATTGCGGGATATATGCACTAAAATTTCTTGAGTTCGACATGACCAACACCCCAATGGACAGCTTGAATGACGATACAATGATTGACTTTCAGGAGCGCTTGGATGTTGATTTCCACAGTCATATGGATCCATTAGCTACTATGGAAGGTATACTTGTGATTAGTAATCTGTACCAATTCTTTTATTTTGTGTTTGTTCGTGATGTTGTAGGCATGAATCATTGAGTCATCAGCCAAGTGTAATGTTGTTTTCATTATTAATACAAATTATGCTGATGGCTGTTAGGATTGTGAAGCACGCCATGGAAATTATCAAACTTTTTACTAACCAGAACCCAATCCAAGTCATTGTTGATGCTATCACCAAAAGGTATGGAAGATGGACTTAGAGTTTTGTAGTTTATGTGAATTGCATTAATTATATGGATAATTGGGT